GCGAAGTCGTACTGCTGCTAGCTGGATGGGGTGTGACAGCAGTAAGGTGTTTCCCTTGGATGACCAGCAGTGCCAAGCTGATGCTGCCTTCTCAGTGGAAGGGGGGGTTAGAAAAGGTCGGCCCCAAAAATAACACACTCCACCACGCCCCACGGTCTGCCGGGCCGGCGGTGTTGGTTCACTTGTCGTTTCCTTTCGCTCATCCGGCCCCAAAAATACAAAAATTCAAAATAATCATACTCAAAAGGCTGGGTGTGACAGGCCTCAAGCAGATGTCCGATGGGCTCTGCGGTCACACAAATCTCTTTCAGGTACCTTAAGAAGAAATAGCCTTCCACGGTGTGGGCAGCCGGGAAGTGTCAACCGCCCTCACAACTCTGTCAGCACCCAAGTTTCTTCTGACTGCTATCCTCCTCCTCCATCATTACCTTCTAATCTTCCTTCACGTCTCTTAATTAATGATGCTGCATCATCTTCAATTTCTCCTACCTCTGCAGCCTTCGACAACGATCTGAGTCCACAGAACAGTCCCTGGTCTCCTTAAACCACGCTCCAAATTACATATTGGAGCCTTCAATGTCCGCACCCTCCGTCAAATTGGCCAACAGGCTTCGTTGGCAAAGACTCTAGCAACTCGAGGCATGGATGTGTGCTGTGTTTGTGAGACACGCATACAGGACCCAAGTGTGGTTATTCACCTGACCTCTCCTGACCAATCTGGTGAATCTGCAAAATTCACCCTTCGAGTTTCTGGAGATTCGATAGCTAGCTCTCGTGGTCTTGCAGGTGTAGGTATAGCATTAAGCACCAGGGCAGAAAACTCACTACTAGACTGGATCCCAGTTGATAGTCGCCTCTGCGCTATGAGGCTGAACGGCACAGTGAGAACTAAAAGGAATAGTGAGACTCGCCGTTGTCTCTTTGTAATCTCTGCTTACGCACCCACTGACTGTAGTTCGGATGAAGTGAAGGACGAGTTCTACCATAAACTGTCTAACCTCCTCTCGAAAGCCAAACGTTCGGACGTAGTGGTTGTTGCAGGTGACCTCAACGCACAGGTGGGTAGACTGAGTGAGGCAGAAAGGCACTTAGGTGGCACTTTCGGAATCCCAGCTGAACGTACAGATAACGGTGATCGCCTATTACAACTATGCTCAGATAACCGCCTATTTTTAGCCAGCACAAATTTCAGACATAAAGAAAGGCACTGTCTGACCTGGCGTCCACCGAGCTCGACTCAGCGATGGACACAGATAGACCACATTGCTATTAGTCATCGCTGGAGAGGATCGGTGGAAGACTGCCGCTCCTTCTGGAGTACGTGTTTGGACAGCGATCATGCGTTGGTCCGAGCACGTATATGCCTGCGTCTCAATGGACGTAGAAAAAATTTGGCAACAAAACCACTACGAGTTCTGCTGGACAACGAAAACACCAAAGCCGTGTTCAGTGAGAAGTTGGCTAGGCAGTTATCGGAACAAAAGACTGTCACTCATCCAGAAGAAGCTTGGTGCCATCTTCAGTCTACTGTAAAAGCAGCACTGGAGACTGTAGCCGACTCCAAGATAATGGCTAAAAAGAGCCAGTGGATATCAGCAGCTTCTTCCAAACTAATGGATGCACGTGAATGCATCCCTGCAGGCTCTGAGTACAATGAAGAGCGAGCGCAACTTAAAAATAAACTGACGAAAAGTCTGCGCAACGATCGTGAACAGTGGTGGGCAGCAAAGGCTAAAGAGATGGAAAAGGCAGCGGCGATCGGTAACAGTAGACAGTTATTTAGACTTATTAAGGAGACTGGGGGGAAATGGTCAACAACAGTTAGTGAGGTTATAGCGGAGAAGGACGGATCGGCGATTCACTCGCAGGGAAGGCGACTGGGACGATGGGCAGAACACTTTGAGGAACAGTTTAACTGGCCTCCAGCCACCATTGCGCTGCCCGCTATCCAGTCGGACCCTGAATGGGACATAGAGACAGGTCCCCCAACACTAGAAGAAGTTGAGAAAGCGGTAGGTAGCCTGAAACGGGGAAGGGCAGCAGGACCAGACGGACTACCTGCTGAGGTATACAAGAATGGTGGTAGAGTTCTCTTAGTCAGGCTAACGGAAGTGTTAGCCAGTATATGGGAATCAAATACGATCCCCTCCGACTGGTCTAAGTCACTCATCATCCCAGTCTTCAAGAAAGGCGAGAAGTCCTCTTGTGATAACCACAGAGGAATCAGCCTGACAAACATAGTGTCTAAGATCCTAAGTTCTATAATTCTCCGACGCCTGAGTGGAGCTCGGGAACAGCAAGCCCGAGAAAACCAGGCAGGCTTTAGACCTGGCCGTGGATGTATCGACCAAATATTCACACTGCGCCAGGTCCTGGAACATAGGCATGCTTACAGACGCCCGACAATAGCTGTATTTCTCGACCTGAAGGCGGCATTTGACTCCGTTGATCGAGAAGTCTTATGGCAGTGTCTGTCACTGAAAGGCGTGCCTAGTAAGTACATCACCTTATTGAAAGCTCTCTACTCGAACACTTGTGGGCATGTTAGAGCCTATGGTGAGTTGTCCAGGGAGCTATACTCATCAAGTGGTGTCCGTCAAGGATGCCCACTATCCCCATTCTTATTTAATTTTATCATAGATATTCTTATGGAGGTTTCCCTCTCGTCACCTAATTACAAAGACGTTGACCGGATCACAGGTGAATTTTCCTTAGATCTAGAATATGCAGATGACATAGTCCTGTTAGGTGAAGACGCTGACAAGATGCAGAGTCTTCTGAACACTTTGAGTGGGAATTTGAGAATGTTTGGGATGCGATTTTCACCACCCAAATGCAAATTTTTGCTCCAGGACTGGTCTTCAGCGGTACCGCGGTTAACAATAGAGAGTGAAGTGGTTGAGTGTGTTGACCACTTCACTTACCTGGGAAGTAGGATCAACCCGGTGGGTTAGTTGCCGATGAGATTTCTGCACGGATACAAAAGGCTCGATTGGCTTTTGCCAATTTGCGCCACCTATGGCGCCGCCGTGATATTCGTTTGTCTATTAAGGGTCGCGTGTACTGCACAGCAGTCCGCTCTGTTCTACTGTATGGCTGTGAAACATGGCCATTGAAAGTGGAAGACATGAGAAGGTTACAGGTATTTGACCACCGTTGCCTTCGTAGTATAGGACGTATTCCGTGGTGTCACCATGTGAGTAATGCAGAAGTTAGGTGTAGAGTTTTAGGGAGAAGAGGTAAGTCAGTCGACGAGGTTGTGAACCTTCATCGACTGAGATGGTTGGGACACGTACTACGTATGCCTAGTCACCGATTGCCTCGTCACACAATGTTGGCTGAGGTGGGTTCAGGCTGGAAAAAGGCCCGAGGTGGCCAGACTAAAACATGGCACCAATGTATGAAGTCTCTGACTGTTGGTTTAAGCCATGTAGGACGATGCAGACTAGGTGGTTGGGGTCCACGGGACAAGAGGAACCAGTGGTTGGAGACCCTAGGTGATATGGCTCAGAACCGAAGTCAGTGGCGCAGATGTATACACACATTATCCTCATCTTAACAACGCTATACCGAATCTCACTATTTTGTCACTCCTCTTTCCTTTCTTCTCGTACTTTATATTTCTTTTGACTGCATTCACTTATCTTCATCCTTCACCTCACTACCTTTTTACTTGATGTGCTGATATGAGGTGTGGCAACTCGGACCGTTACGCAGTAATGCCTGGTCCTATGTTGATAATGATGATGATGATGATCTCGAGTGGAACGGAGATGGTAGGTGAGGAGTTTGGCGTGGTAGGTGAGGTTGACATGTAGGAGATGGTATGTGAGGAAGAAATGGAGCTTGTGTGCAGTGGTGGATTCAGGTTGAAAAGATTTCGGAGAAGAGAGTGTAGTGGAGACGTGCTACTGAATTGCCATGTTCCATTACGAACCCAAGAGATGATTAATAATATTCATAATAATGAAAGGAAAAGAATGCAAAGTAGGAAGGCAACCCCCGAGTGATTATGTGTCGAATAGATTTAACATGGTCTTCACTGTGTCTGAATAATTCCATGTTTTCAAGTTGTAATGGAATAGTCAAGTGGCTTGATCCCAGTGAACTGGATGATTGTAATGTGTACATGTATATCTTAAGCGTATAAGAAATATCATTTTAGCTGAGAAATAGTTTAGTTAGCTGCAATACATTGTATCATCCTGTCTTTTCAAGCCGATCGCTGAAAAAGACATCACATTCGTCTTCCCGCCATCGTAAATGTTATTTTGGAAGTCGAGTGGGTCGCCTGACTTCTCAGACCCCACTTCTCTATCCCAGTGGATACATATCCTAAGTTCTGTCTTCCTACATCCTGACCCATCTCTTATGATGTGATTTTATTCACTAGACTTCATTTAGTCTCCCAGTTTGAGTGGTTTCTATTCCTCAGCTATCTTCTGCATTCCTGACAGTTTGTTCCTGAACAGTTTTTAAGCATCATTGTACTCCATTCTTTTTGTAATCCTAGTTTCGTACCATCAACCAAGTGAAAACGTTCTCTTTTAGTTGGCTTTTGTATGTAACCAGGTTGCTGGTTACTTTCTTTCCACCTCAACCATTGTTTCCATGCACCATTGTTTCTTTCTATCCAAAGTATTGGTGTGAAGATGATATGTTATCGTCTGACAACCTGCTGTTTCAGACGGAATTTAGATCCTTCACTGGCAGAAACAAATCCTTGTCGGTTAGTATCATCTTTGACACTCTGCCTAATCTCTATGGTGTCTACCCAAAGTGCGACTAGCTTTGTTGTCACCTGTAAATGTTGCCTTCCGCTAACCGTTTAAGGGACTACCAGTGAATGTATCGATCACCTCTCTGATTGATCGTATACAGCAGAAGGTGGTTCTTTGGCTTGACTATGCTGACTAGTTTGCTGAAGACACGTCAGCCTATCCTGAGTTATACAATTTTATACTAGTTCACCCATCTCCTTTTTTTTTCTTCTAAAATAGTTATTTGCCGACATTTGTGAATATCGTGTAGAGTCGAAAGGGAACACAGAAGTTTTGAACAACACTACACCCACTGGTATCACTATCCCTCCATTTCCGCCAACAACACAAGCACATTATGGACCAGCAGAAAAGGCTAAAGAATTCGGTATTACAACTGTACCGTCTGATTTGGAAGCTCAACTACACTGTCGTACTGGTGTGTTGGAGTTAAGATTTACAACAAAAAATCCGGTAATTACTAATCTGTTCTAAACGTTTTTTAGTCATACAAAGTTGATTTTGTTGTGTGTGGGTGTGTGTTTGTTTTTGGCGTTTTTTGGTTCCTCCCCGCCCCCTCCATTTCTTCTTCCTAATCCAAGGGGTGGTGTATAGGAGAAGGGAGATTGTCAAGCTTTCATCGGCATTAATCTCGAGATATCCAGATGAATCCATTATCGCCCTGATGAAGTGATTTTAATCGATTGTTTCATTCCCTTATATCGATTCATATGTACAATCATAGACATGAATTCCACTTGAAAAAAGTAAAGATTTTGGATGGAGGCAAAACAAAAAATCCCAGGGAATTTCTAAAAGTTTAGTATTCAGGTCAGATAGCGATTAATAGATTCACGGATATATATTCAGTTTATCAACCAATCAGAAAAATGATAAGCAATTTCAAGGTCAGATATTAACCAACCAATAGGAAAATATCTATGCAGTCAGTCGATGACACATCAACTGACAGAAACAACCAATCACAAACGAGTTCCTCAAGGCAAGCAGAGAAATACACACATACCTCACATGGTTTATTATTTTCTTCATAGTGTACTTCATTCATAGAATGTCACTGAAGGTATTATACTAGGAATCTACGGTAGCCTTTACATCCAGCTGGCATTCGACAGCCATCAGTTATATCAAGGCATCTATACACGATTCTGTGTTCTAATAACAAATCGGTGAATTAGGTGAAAACTAACTAGTTAAATGGAGATAATAGGCCGTGACACCTTCCAAAACGAGCAGTGATATATATATTCACTGTGAAAAGGATCAACCATCTATGAAAGTGGTGACTAGTATGACGGTGAAACATTCTCTGGTAAGATCTACAATTTATGACATACAGAATTACATAACAAGGCAAATAATAGTGATTGGCTGGGTAGAAATAGTTGTCCTGTATGCTGGTTTCACCATGTTTGAAGTCGATCTGGGGTAACAATACATTTGTCTTTGTCTAAGACTCTTCAGCAGCTCACCTATGACCATGTAAGAGGTCGAGCTTGAAACTTTGAGGTCTCACGACGACCATATCATTCTTCTATTTCATATCAGTGACTATCGTGAGCTATCCAAATGTAATCGATCAACTGTAGAGTCGCATCATGAGGTTACAGAAACATCCAGTCATTCTGAACTCAATCCGGTTTGATCTCATTAGGTTGAAAGAGTTGTCTTCACTGGTTTTCCAGTTTTTTTAGTCATGCAAAGACATAGGTTAGAGAGCCATTTCGTCCTTGAATGGCGCGCCTCAGACGACCTTACCTGCGATAGAACCAATGACCTTCAGGTTTCATGATGAGCAACTGAGTAGTATATGCGAGCTGCTGAGGAGACCCTAACCTTGGATGAAATGTCTCTTCAATGTTCTCAGGGTTGTTCATAGTCATCTTTAACTGATGTCTGTTCACGATGAATATCACCTTGAAAATAACCGAATACTGTATTTGTTCCCGTTGTTTTCTTTTCCAGCAAGATAAACTTCCACGTTTAACAGCTCTTTTGAAGTCATTAATTCATGAGACAAAAATGCTAACTGATTGTATCCTTATTCGAACAATTGAAGCTGTTCCACCAAGTAGTATCAATTCTACAACCAGTCGTTTATCGACCAGTATAACTACAACTAATCAAGGACCATGTATTCATATGATTATATTGACAGCATATTTACCAACAGCTGGAGAGTACGCCTTGGAAGTCTATGCAGCACCAGCAGACTCTGATGAGAAAACATCTTATTTTTTGGTAAGATATCATAGATTTTTATTCTTATCCTGGTTGGTTTAATGCAATAAATATGATGTATGAGGATTTGATCCAATACCATGTGATTTCTGTCAAAATTATTTGCTTTGTGCTAGTAGGATTAAAGAATTACGTTGTCCTTAGACGACCTCCCAGTGACCTTGAAAGCACCAATAAGAAAAGAGTTGTTTCCTTTCTGCCTTCAGTATGGAAATGAGATGAAATTGACAGGAGATGTGGCTTTTACCTATGCTCAAGAACCCTAAGTATAATGACTTTAATTCAGACCACTGTATAACACTAAACCACCTGAAGTTTGATATGGATGTGGTCCGCCTATCGCTTCTAAATTATACACAGAGTCTTCTGGAAACATGTTGCTGACATCTGTCAAAGGTAAGTTGATGCTTAAGGAATGGTCTACCTCAAGTACTCCGAGTTTAATGATACGGAGTGAAGTGGGGGAATGTCTCGACTATTTCACTTAGTTCGGGAGTTGTATCAGTCTGGCTGGCTTTATTGTGACGACATCTTAGCTCGGAAACAGAAGTCTCACTTGTCTCATCTGTCGCACCAGGGGGGGAAAAGATATCCGACTACCTATTGAAGCGTATATTGCGCTTCAAGACATGAAGAGATTACATGATATTCATCATTTATGTCTTCGTAGCATTGCTCCCACTTGATGGTATCATCATATCACTAGTGCTGAGGTCACGTGAAACATAATAGGCAACACAAGCAACTCAAATGATCACAGTGTCAACCTTCATCGACTGAGATGACTTGCAAATGTCTTGAGCATTTCAAGTCCCCACCTAACTCAACGTGACATACCAACGAAACTTTGATTGCTTGAAAGAGAGTTTAGGTTGGCACTATTCAATGACATCTCTGAACGTTGGTTGAAGTTGTGTTGACTATCTGACATGAGTCCGTGAGATGATAGGGCTGAGTGGTTGATAAGTGACTCTTGATGACATAGGTGACATGGTGTAGACCACATTCACTCCTTCACATCTCCTACAGCTTGAATATTCACACTCACCTTGATTCCCAGATTGTTTGTTGTCTCATTCAGCTTTGTGTACTTTGATATGAGTCATTTTCTATCGACGTGTTCTTTGTGTACTTTTGTGAAGTGTGCCAAGTTGGTGTGATGCAGTTCTGTGTGTGTGTGTGTGTGAGGTTCTATGTTGATTTGTTGGTGAGTGAGTGAGTGAGTGAGTGAATCAGTCACTCAGTGAGTCATTGAGTCAATGAGCCCGTTAGTGAGTCAGTTAGACGATTAGTCAGTAGGTCAGTGAGTGAGTCAATGAGTCAGTTAGTCAGTCAGTCAGTTTGTCAGTGAGTGAGTCAGTCAGTGAGTCAGTCAATGAATGAGTTAGTCAGTCAGTGAGTCGGTCAGTCAGTCAGTCAGTCAGTCAGAATTTATTGTTAGCACCGATGAAGAAGGATCGATAGCTTACATGTTAGGAATTCCAAGTTAACCTCAGGTTGGGTTTTTTTTTACCTTAAGATGTACAGATTTCATGGAAAAAATACTGAGAACCAATATAATACGGAGCAAACAATCAGCTAATAGGTCCTCTTTTGATCATCAGCCCTGACTCAGTGAGTATCGCGAAGATGTTTGAAAATAATTGATGTGGTTTAGAGACTTAGAATAAAGGTTGTGATTAGGTGTGTTCGAGAACCGCCGGCGCATGTACAGTTACTATATCATGTACGTGCATCATTTGAAAGATAATTCCCTTCGATTTAGTCAAAGTTTTCCAGATGAAAATATTTCATAGGTTGATCTAGAATCAGTCACATGTTATAAATAATTCAAAGCTTTTCATAACAACCGCAAATTAGGCTTCAATGTGATTGGTCGCCTCAAGGTCACTCGGTAGTTGTTCAAGGACAACAAGACCTATAGTAACACAAACTACAGTAGTGACATTCCCGGTAAAATTAAAGTAATCAGCTAGCTTTAATAGAAGCAGCTTATCGGAACGTTACACTACCTTTAGGATTTTTAACTTTACTGATTCGCTGATGAAGACAAGCACCTTACCTCTACATTTTACTGACTGTAATTGGCTTTTAAAAATGTCACAGTGATTGGACAGGGGACAATGACCGATGTAGCTTTGGAGTCCCTAGTGCCTATCTAAGTCTATCTTGGCATCGTAGATGTTTAGAATGAATGGTTCTCTCAGCTAAAGTTTTGTTTGGCTAACGTTTCACTGTCAGGTCAGATATCGTCACCAGTCCATTAGAGACTCATAAGGAAGTGGGTTGTGCGTGGATACCTATAACGTAATACTTTGCTAGATTGTAACTCGATTAATTGCCTTCCAGTAGGTAAGGATACTCAATCAATCGACGCAAAATATCCTTCTCCAGTACATACTAATCAGCCAATCACTTTAGTCAAACAAAAATCCTAACTAAGAAGGTGATTTCGATTAATTTAAGATTAAGCTAATCACGAAGAAATAGGCTCAGTATACTAGAAACAAACTAAAGAAAGCTAGAGGCAGGTAATCGACTAGTCAGTTTAACCATTTGCCCACGCACTAGCCAGTCGACCAATCAGATTGCATCCAGACAAAGTAGCGCTTTATAAATATCCGTGCACAGACTTTTGCTTTACTTCCCTGTGAAACTTCGATGCACTAATGATGATGTCTAGCATAAGAGTGAAACATTTACCAACTAAAGCTCTAGTCGTATGCGTGACAGACTGAAGGAAACGCCAAACGCTGGTCTGAACTACTGCTATACCTCAAGCTTCCGGATACGAGTTGATCCTACGACCACTTGCATCACACCGGTTGACTCAGACGGCAGACAATATTAGACTGTTAGCGTACACAATGTATGTATATGTCGTATTTAGCAAGTTGTATACGAAGTGTACAAGACCTTAAAAGCGTATGTGGCCTAATCCAAATGTTAGTGAATAAGAACAAAGGTGGATAGATGAATGAGATTCCCAACTGACTGGCTCGTGCGTCTATTCTCTGCGGTTATAAGTACAACAGAGTCAACGGGTAGGAAACTCCTCTTCATCTTGGTTCCCTGTTAGTTGGCATTCATTGACAGGAAAGGCTTATCTGAAATCATGACGGAACTGCCACCCCCGTAGGGACTCGAATTCATATCTGACTATTCACGCCACCATCTTTTCCTGTATGGCTAAATTAAACATATGAGTTGGCCACCAGTGAATAATCTGTATAACTGCTGAAAGCAAACTTCTACTTTCTGCTACATTTCTACAGATGAAGTGTTTGGAATATCTCTTATCCAGCAGTATAGTTTTAAGAGTTTCAATTCCAGATTTCCCAGAAAGTTTAAACTTGTTTCATTGCGGAAAATGGAGTATTTTTTCTTCAGACTAGGAACCCAGATGTCGCTTATTTTCAGGTTATTTATTATACTACTTGCATGCACTGAGAAGGCCGACTGGAGACATCACGCGTCAGGCCAGTCACTCGAGTGGAATCCCTATGGGAAGCGACGAGTTGGACGTCCTTCGAGGGTGAAGGAGGTCGTGCGAGGAGGAAATGAGAGCTTCTGGGCTGTCGTGGAACCAGGTTGAAAAGATCTCAGAGAACAGAGGTGACGGGAGGCGTGCTACTGAAGCTCTATATTCCATTAGGAACCCAAGGGATCAATCATAATAAATAATTTATGCACCTATATTTGTTCAGTTCAATAATTTATGTTCTTATTTCGTTTTTTTTTGTATATTTTCTATAGGTATGGCAGTTTTTAATTGATTCTGAATTAGGTGTTCAATTGTCAACACCAGTTAGAAAACGTTTAGCTACAATGAATTTAGGTCCACAAGATGAGATATGGTCTACATTGGGTTTAAAGTTACTCAGTCATAATGATCCATTAATTCATGTACCAACAATTGGTTCATTGGGATTACAAAAAACTCGAAGTAAATCAGAAATTATGAGTCAATATATAAGTCATACTGATAAATTGACGAATAATTTAACTGTAGGTGATTCATTGGCCATGCCTGGATCCGCGGTATCATCGGAAAAGACATATGAGTTGGACGATGACGTTCAAGATCCACGTAGTTATGATTTAAAGATAAGATTTTTGAAAGAAACTCGACATAAACTTTATGTGGTTGGACAATTTGTCGATATAAGTACACTGGATGAAGAAGAGGTAAGTTGTAAAGTTGAAGTATTCTACTTAGTTAATGATTGATTTGTTACATTGAAGAAGTAAAACCTGGAAATACTTTGTGACTACTTTCATTCACTGTTTCAAAGTATCCTAAAGTTAACGAGATATCTTCATGAATGACCCTACTGGAAAAATAACGAACTATTCACCAAGTGGTAAACAAACACAAAAATCAAGTCATGTATCTTCAGATGTTCATAATCACAAGATTAAGAATATCCTTATGTTATGTTCTACCTGTTAACTCATCTATTGTTATATTGTGGAGAATATTTGTAGGTCAGATAAATAGACTTGGTTGTATTGTATTCTCTGACGAACTGCAATGTCTAATCTTCGAGAAGATTTCATCGTCTTTCTACACAGCGACATCATCACCTCCTGAATTCAGTAGCAAGTCAGCTAACTGTCATTGACTGACTACATAGATTCTCCTGTTGACTCTTCCTCTGCCTGACCCCCACCTTTCCCTCGTTTATCATTCTTATCATTGCTTGGTAGATTGGGTCTATGTCTAGACATCTGTGGACTGCTGACTGACTGACTGAGCTGAGCTGAATCCCAAGCTTCTTGAAATTCTCTGATATTCTTTATGTTCCCTCTCTCCATCCAATATTTCTACACTGTCAACATTCAATTCATATCCATAGTTGTTATCCACTTGGATTGAATGATGAGTGATGAAATGTCGTTAGATTCAATAGCCAGTTGGTGTTCTCATGTGAAGGAAGGTGAAGATGGTGACCACTTTGTTCAATGAATGTAGTGTTGACCACAAGCATTTCAGTTGATTTTATGTATGATATTCAGTTTGTCTTCTTTGGTTGTTCAATCCCCTTTGGTCTGGATAACAGTGATTGGAGGGAATTTGTTAGTTTACGAGGCGCCTGACATTAATTCCAAGTGGTCCCAATAATCTTATCGTGATTCCTCATACATCTTCTTTATGTAAGGTAAGATGATGCATTTATTGATGTCTGTCGATGACTTTGTATTTGGGTTCTGAATATTCGTTCTCATGTACGACTTGGTTTATTTCATTCGGTGTTTTGTAAACATTCGCGGATCGATTTGGAATTAGTTATCATTACCGACTGACACCAGTTGAAGATGATAATTTAGAACATGGGAGCACTACACGGCTGCTTTATCATAGTTTGAGACCCCAGCAGTACCCACCTATGGTCCCGCCAGGGATCCGATCTAAGAACTGCAAGCCCCAATGAGTCGGAATCCACTAACTCATTATCTCGTGTTTCTGTCACTTCTTCATATGCTGTAACCATTATCCATTGTCATCTGCACTTCTAACTTGAATGAACCCACAGGTCAACTCGTCTTATCAGGATTTTGGGAATCTCGTCTAGCTCTCCCGATGACCCTAGTCCATGATTACTCACTGTCTGTCAGACCGAATGGTTCTATACCCGATTCTTAAGAAGGAATGTGTGTGAGCACTTTTACCAACTCTTAAACTAGGTGAAAACACCTCCGAGGTTTTCAGTACTTTGCCAACTGACACGCGACGTCCAATCACTTACCTGAGAAGTTGGACCAGCCCTGATGCGTTGGTCAGTTGCCGATACAAAAGGGTTGGTTGGCTTTCGCCAACTTACGCCATCTGTGGCGCCGCCGAGTGTACCGTGCTGCAGTTCGTTCTCTTCTATTGTATGGCTGTGAAACATGGCCATTAAAAGTTCCTAAAGTAGCACGGCTACCTACGAAACTTTATCGCAACATGCCCATCCGGTGCATCATCAACTACAAAGTCATCGACAGAGATCAATAAATGCATCATCTTACCTTACATAAAGAAGATGTATCAGGAATCACGACAAGATTATTGAGACCACTTGGAATTGATGTCGGGCGCCTCGTAAACTAACAAATTCCCTCCAATCACTGTTATCCAGACCACAGGAGATGCAACAACCAAAGAAGACAAACTGAATATCATACATAAAATCAACTGAAATGCTTGTGGTCAACACTACATTCATTGAACAAAGTGGTCACCATCTTCACCTTCCTTCACATGTGCACCAACTAGCTATTGAACCTAACGACATTTCATCACTCATCATTCAATCCATGTGGATAACAACTATGGATATGAATTCCATGTTGACAGTGTAGAAATACTGGATGGAGAGAGAGAACATAAAGAATATCAGAGAATTCCAAGAAGTTCGGGATTCAATCCAGTCAGTCAGTCAGCAGTCCACAGATGTCTAGACATAGACCTAATCTACCAAGCAATGATAAGAATGATAAACGAGGGAAAGGTGGGGGTGAAATAGAGGGACAGTCAAAAGGAGAATCTATGTAGTCAGTCAATGGCATGACAATCGAAGGAAGCAACTAATCGTAGACCACTTCATCAAGGCAAGCTACTAAATCACTCAGGGAGAGATATAGATAGCTAGCTGACTTGCTACTGAATTCAGGAGGTGATGATGTCGCTGTGTAGAAAGACGATGAAATCTTCTCGAAGATTAGACATTGCAGCTCCTCAGAGAACACATTACAACTAAGTAGTATCGTGTTCCTCAAAGTATCCAGAGTTGAGAAGACTTTATTGCATATCTTAATAAATGTTGTTCTGATACTTGTAATTTCACGTTGCTGTACAGAGTATTATTACTCGACCTCTTTGATAAATGAGGTTCTATCTTTGGATGCCTCTATACTGCCAGTTATTCAAGATGTTATATCCATCTTGGTGAGTAGCAGCGGAATGTCGGACGTTAGTTCTATCTTATTTGAGACTCATGAACCGGATGTAGCCGCACCTTAGTTATCTAGTGGACAACGCTTTTGCCTCTGATGTGATGCTTAAGGGGCTAGAGTCTCCGCGGGAACATCACCCACTGAGGTGAAGCTGCATCCAGCTGACGAGCCGTAAGTGGGACGAAATGCGTGTCTTGGATCCCACCGTTAGTCAACAAGGTGAAGGAAATGTTATAGACAATAGACTGATTGTATAAATGATCTATGGGAGTGTATCGCATGAATTGGGATTGTTTATCAACTACACCATCCTGACCATGTTAAATGACGCCAATCGGAGAGTCAGTGGCACATCGCATATCTCAAAACTGGATTTTGCGAGAACTATGTTGTCTTTCCGAGGCTAGAAAAGCTTTAGCGAAGATGACCTATCGAAGCGTATACTGACGACAATTGTTTAAAGCATATGTGAGTCTGAGATGACTTTGAAGTACAAAGGAGTACCAAGAAGTTAAAATACTTACTAATGAACAATATGAGCAGTCAGTAAACACTTAAGCTGATGTGTAAATTTCTCCAAGCAGCCAAAGCTGAATGTCTTCAACACCATAAGGCTTCTTCGTTGACCTGGGTCTAGGCTAGTTCATTATCGATGTACTCTGGTTGTTCAAGAGACTTTCGCGTTACAGATCACACCTTATGATTTTGGCTGACATGTGATTCCCAACGGAAACTCTATTGACAAGATAGATGTGAGAAATCTTAACGTCGACTGCGCAGTTTGAAAATCATTCGCAAATTCATCATCTAACCAGGGGTACCTGAATTATAAATCCATATGTAAGCACTTTGGAAACACTTTGAAAGGGAGTATATACCAGTCTGAATCAAATAGTGGAAGAGTATAACTTTACCGTCCTTGAGCGACTGTTGGATGACCTTGAAGTATCCAATCACATTGAAGACAGCTGTATGGTACTTTTGTGTTTACTGGAACGATGTTGCTGACATCAGATAAAATAAGTTAGTTTCGAAATGTCTCAAAATATTTGTCAGTTTAGAGGCGTTTTCACCTTACTTTCATATCGCACAGAGGATAAAACAGAAAGCATACAGCTAGTGCATCGTTCTTCAGCGATAGCCTTACTTATCTTCTCACCTTTCAACTTAAGTTTCAAGTTTTATACTCTCAAATCAAACTAGTGTACAGTGTCATGTACCTAATGGCAATTGTTAAATTCTTCAGCTCTAAGTCTAACATCGTTCTACAAGGGTTCACACAAATAATCTAGAGGTGATAGGGGATCTCCTGGAAGCCTACTTAAGTCCATATCACCAATCAGATGGATTAATGTTACGCAGTCACGTGTATGAGTATCCTCATAGTAAGTACCTTTAATTTAGGTATTAAAAAGCAGTCAAAAATAGGAATGAGTTCCTAAACATCATTTAAAATGTATAGACGTTAGCCTCTATAAGGAAACAAGTGTTTCGCTATTGGTGCGTTCAAGGTCATGTGATGATCCCTCAAGGACGATGGGATCTGTTAGCTCCATTAAACAAGTTAATCATCAGGTATGTAAAGACATTACATCTTTTAATATATGAGTGTATTTAACATGTTTGTATCTTACTTTCTAGGATTGTACAACTTACTTATTACAACAATGGGAGGAACCAGAAGAGCTGGACTGAATGAACACCTCTCATATTTAATACGTATACCGAAAGGTGATCATTTTTACAAATTATACCTCTATGCAACACCAGTGAATGATAATGAATTACCACAATCATTACCATTAGTCTATACATATTTAATTGAAGCTCCACCACGTATTATGGCATCTGAATTACCGTATATTGGTGTAAAATGGGGTCCATTCCCTGAGAAATTAGAACAACAAGTTATTGTTAAACAAGAGTCCAAAAAATAGTCAACAGAATACTTGTAAGTTCTGTTTTTTTTGAATTTGGCGCCATTTGATGTGTAGGAATTTAAACAAAACAAACAACAAAGAGTTTTATTGGATAGAATGTGTTCTATTTTCAAATCATACAAATATAATTTAGCTTGTTTTATTGACTTTATGCGTTGATCAGTAATATTTTCTGATCAATTTTGGTAATTCATTTTAATCAATATAGAATCTCTATTTATTCGATCAAGTCATAGAGCATTTGATTTGAGGTGGAACAGTTTTATTTTGGCTTTCTATGTCCGTGTCCGTGTCTCTGTGTGTGTGTGTGTGCGTGTATGCTTATGTACCTCATTCAATTCGTCCAAATCCACATTCAGCTACTCACCCCTTCCTCTTGACAACTATTCACATTTTCTGTTCTATATCTCCATTCACTTCATATTTTGTTTTGAATTAAACTTCATAAAACTTTTAGGATGATGATATTGATGTCTAATTTAAATAACAGAACCATCTACGTATCTAATGATTCTTTGATGACTGTGAAACTTCCATAGAACAAAATAAAAAAAACGTCCTTGCCCGAATACTTAACTCTGATTGGTTGAAATAAGGTTGAAGATAATCATTGGATGATTGTTCAGCCTATCAGATCAAAGCTAACTTATAATGTTCTTTTTTAAAACAAATAGAATGACTATTTAATTATTGTTGATTGGATTATGCTTTTCTTGTCATCCTTCTACGTAAATGTTTAGTGTTTGTTCATGCTATTGTGATACTTTGATAGGAATGAGTGGAGAGGGGGAACGGAAGGGGGGGGAGATGCGAGAGAATAATAAAAACACCAATTTATTTTTACACCATTTCCTTTTCTTTAAACAGCACACTGATCGATAACTATCATCATTATCATTATGAATTATGCCATTTCATTTTCTTTGTAATTTATTCATTGATATGAGCAAAACTTGTTAAGAAAATTGAATTTTCATTGTTAACCTATGAGTAGAAAGAATTATTATTTTGACTATTTGAGATATCCATGGGGTTGTCAAGGTAGTCTTCATACTGGGTAATGACTGAAGGTGTAACAGAAATCTGGACCGCTGCCAGACTCCAACCAGTAACCACCCAGTTCCCCGGCCCAGTGCTTTACCAACTGATTTACAAAGTTCAACTGTGGTATGAATTTTCATTTCATCTTCAGTCATCACCCAGTTTCAGTGTTAGTCTGCAAAACCATGGATATCTCATTCAGGTAATCAAAATGACAATCAATATGGTGCATTTTCTCTCTAATTCAGTTAGATTTGGATTGAGATGAGAAGTTGTGACCGGATAGCCATTGTGAATGCAATGTAATGGTGGTAATGCGTCACGAATTCACATGGTAGTCTGGCAGAACGCTTAACCATTGAAGTGAAATAAAAATGTGGTCAGCAGTCTCGTCTTGTAATTCGTTTGGTGGAGCACCGAAGTGGAACTATGCTGGTCACTAGTTTGAATACAGCCGTGGTCTAAAGTTTCACTTCACCTTTGATCATCACCATGTTGCATACCGCGTATTGTACACTATTTTATGCGCTATATGATACTTTCGTATATTATATAAGGAGTGACAGCAAGTAAATGGGGTTCACTTGATTCAGCCAATGATTTTGATATTGTGCGGTGTTGGTTAAAATGAAAAAGATGGATTTTGTGGCACAAATAACTTCTATTCGCTAATCGCTTTCCTCTCTGATTTTCAGATAAGACATGAAAAAAACGCTTCAATGAGCATGCATATCGACTAATACATGAATGACCACCTGAGGTTCTTACCAATTTTGTACTTGTCATTCATGGAGTCTTCGTAAACAAAACTAGACCGTTGAATAAGTAGGTATCATTCATGAGTTTCATCATCTTAGTCCAAAACGGAAGGAAATCTAAACCCGTGAGCATTTTAAGCACTCAAGAGACTATAAAAATCTCTGATATTGTTCTACTAAGATGTTATAAGGCATCAGATATAATCGTTATGAACAAGCCGCATTACAAAGGATTATAGAAACAAATCTTCTGTTAGACGTCCACTATCGTGGCTCGGTGGTGTGGTGGATAACGCGCTGGCGTTTGAAGCTATCGCTCCCGAGTCCGAGTCCCAGTGGGAACAACATCACTTACTGGGAAGCAGGTACATCCAGGGTCCCAAATAGGACGAAATGCGCATCCTGGATTCCGCTGCTAGCCACTGCCCACCATTATTATTATTATACTGTTTATTATTGTTGTGAACTGACAAAGTTGAATTCTTATTTATGAATGAATACTTTCGACAAATTAATGTTGTCGCTCTGGGTAGTCCAGTAGGACTATTGCTAGCGTTTGTGTACGTGTCAGATATCAGTGACGTAGTTAGAGATCTCACAATAAGAGTTTCAATGAATAAGAGATACGTCTATGATATAGTCATTACATATGAAAAGCCTGACAGTGCTTTGTGCCTGGTAGAGAGATGAACATGACTCGAAATCACAATTGCCTTACTTTTGATCAGGAGAGGGACACTTAACTACTATTCTTAGACATGGTGCATAATCGACAGGAGGATGGTTCCATCAGAAGCTCAATCCATTGAAAGCCTATGTGGTGGTGGCAATATCCTAGTTTCCATACCTACTGTCTAGTCCATTATAAACACCGTTTAGTTATGTACTATTCAACAGGATAAACTGCATCTACATCGATGACACAAAGGAAGAAGAAACCAGTTTACTGACGATGACACTGATGCAAGTGGCTACCCGCTGAAATTTATTAATCGATACAAAAGTTGTGTGGCACTGAAAAGTGCTCAGTTTTCTGTCCCTAAGAAAATGTCTACATTCCATTACCATTTAGAGGTGATTCACATAGCTTTATTGTAAGGAAAAAGCTTAAATCGGTCATTTGTAAAGCACTTCATGCATATAAGGTCATCACTGTGGAGAAAAGGAAGTTCCTATTACAACATAAACCAAAACAACATAGAAACGACTGTATCACAACCTACCATGAATATCATTTTACAAGTAGATGTGGACACATGTACATAGGGAAGAATGGCTGTGATATCCAGTTAAGAAACTATTCCCAGGGCAGACACAAAAACAGCTTTTAAAGTACTACGTAAAAGTGGCCAGCGCCGAGCGCTTAAGTTTATTGAAGCTCTTACCATCCGTAAATTCAAACCCTCCCCATGTATACAAAAGCAATTTGTCCTCACCTTGAGCTTACCTCAGTAGTGAAAAGATGTGCTCTGAATTTTTTGGTTTTAGTCAACCCTTTTATTCTCATGTTTCCTATCATTGACTCAAATGACGCTTTTTGTAAATAGTTCAGCAACCCCATGTGTGTGACTAGATTGTTCGAAATGCACAGCGCTGATAAGTCAACCACGTTTCGGATAGTCTCTACCTTTTTATCGCGCTGTTCAAATTTGTCAAGGGGACCAATTAGCTTAGATTCATGATCAATAGTTGAAACAATCATTCGCCATATCCATTACACATCCACCTTCGCATTATTCTCTTGCAGTGTTCGCTTGGCTTATTCACAAGCCTCTCACTTCTACTTACTGCTTTTGTACTGATGTTGTAACAGTGTGAATCGGACTGCCGAGATCTTCGTAATAAGTCCCCCAATCTCTGCAGCCTTTCACAACTAGTCATGCTGCTCTCGGGTTTAGAGAGGAAGTAAGTTTATCCGATGTATCCAATATCTTTTTACGAGCTAGCGTAAACCGGATGATTTATTTGCACTCACTTCTAGATCTTGTAAAACGGTTGTAGGACTGTGGAGGTTTCCGATGCAGTAGGTCTACTCATTCGCCTGATGTGGGTCTGGTTGACGCGATGGACAGTTGGGCGTTGATTATTCTTGTACAGATTGTGAGGTTTTTCTAAGGACTGTGGTGCAGCCTCCTCAGGTGTCGTGATGCCGGAAAGTTAGTCGAATCGGTTGCAGAGTGAAGATAGAAAAGATGTCCAGGGAAATCAAGGGGGAGGGAGCGCGAAGCATAAGGTACAAAAGCGATGAGACGAAAGGAAGCTGATTAAAAGGGGAGAAACCTAGTTAGATGCATTGGAGATAAGTGATAGGGAGAATTTTTAATAATGTGGTAATACGGAGTCAGAGGGAAAGAAAAAGGCAGGTAAGATTGTAAGACGGGTTATGGGAAAAGAGATAGTAATAATGTTGGTTGAAGGTGGTAACTGAAGGAGACGTCCAGTGGTGGTACAAAAGATTCAGTATAGGGTTCGCTGTGCTGAGTCGTAAAGAGTTAGTAGGTTGCAATAATCTACTCCGTATCTCAGCTGGATGTGCGCAGACCTTACGTCACTACGTAACTGTCCAACCTCTTCATGAATCTGTCGGCGGATTAAGGAGTAGAAATTTTGGCAGGCAATGCTTTCCAGCGGCCACAAACCCGCAGAGGAAGGAGGTGTGAAAGCACACGAGTTTAGCCCTTTTAGGCCGATTCTGCTTGCTTTACCATGAGGATTGTCACAGTGACCATTCGGCAGGATTCCATTGTTTGGATGACCTGGATTCTTAGGTGTACGCATCCACAAATATAAGATTGTATGGAGAGACAAAACCAATAGGACACGTCCTTCTAGAGAGGCTTGGAAATGGTTGGGGGCACTGCAAATAAATATATATGAACCCATCTATTTGGTTCATATTTTAACGTTGTAATGCCCCTTCTTACCATCTTTTGCAATTTACTGAGGAACTAAGCAG